AAATCGAAGTGAATAAGAATTAGCTAGAACTAGGTAGTAAGTACTAGGGGTTCCCTATGTGATGTAGTAAGTACTACCTGCCTAGTACGTACTACCCCCTAGTACCTACTAGAGTGATTCGCTAATAAACAAGCCAAAACAGGCGCGCGGCGATAATCAGCTGTTTGTCGTTATTCCGTTGGTCATTCCTGACAGCGCCTGCAGTTGTATCAGACGTGTTGAGTGACTAGTAAGTAGCATTGCTACAAATTTGAGCGAATGGTGGTGTTTTGGCCTCTGGGGACATCAAAATGAAAAAGTAAATCGGTCCCAGGCCTATGTCTTACCATGCCACCTACAGTAATAGCTACTTCCTTATAGGGAAATTCGCTAAAAAGAGAAAATAACAAAACGCAACAATCCTATCGAGATAAAAAATAAACAATTAATTTGCAATTTTACATAATTCCTAATATGCAATTAATGTTCAATCCAATTAAAAAATATCGTTTATTTAAACACTTTGTTATTATATAATTAAATCTAATTTACGACCGATAAGAAGGTATTTTAATTTGTACTAAAAATAGCTCAACTTACCCGGATCACCAAAATAACAAAATAAAACTTCAATTTTCTGTCGAGATGACAGTGCCCCTCCTCTTCTCTCAACTTCACCATTGCCAGGCAAAAACTCGTTGGTAAAAAAATCAACACTATCATTCTCAAATCGCAGTAATTGCTTAAAGTTACCAATTTTTCTTCGTTCAAGGTATGTTTTCCTGTTACGGACTTGTAAAAACATCGCCATATTCGCAAACGACCAAACTGAAGCATGCCCTTGATCGTACTACATAAAAATGAAGTAACTACTACGCCGACTGGTTTTTATTCACCGAAAAAGCCTAGTAGATACTACTTTCCCTATGTGATGTAGTATGTACTAGGGGTAGTACGAACTAGCATTTTATTCACCTGCAAGTCGTAGTTTGTACTAGAGGCTAGTATCAACTAGCATGTTTATTCACCGAAAACCGAGTAAATACTTAGAAAAGAAGTACGTACTACCAAATACTACCTTTTATTCACCTCACCCAATAATACAAACAAATAATCACACTCTTGATTTTAATAAGGTAATAAATTGAAATAATAACAAACAAATAAGCACAGCTGAGGTATTTTTAACATAAGGTATATTGAAAGTGCCTTTTAGAAAGGAATTACGACCTTAAAACGCAAATTTATGAATTTATTGATATTAATGTATGGTTTTTCGCGGGGTTTCTCGTCATGATAAACATTTTAAGTATGTGGTTTATAGGAGTGTGACTTTTAGTTTTCTCAAAAGTTCATGGGTACTTTGGGATTTATATGTGGATTAACGTATGGCAGATGTTTTGATTTAACTTATTGCCAACATAGAACATTTCAATAATCAATAACTATATAACATGTGGTTGATATACTATTTAAACCATAACTATTTACCAGTGTATCCAAAAAAAGCTTATTTTGTTTGAGAATAGAGTGCTTAGAAAAATACATGAATCAGTTCAATATAACGAATGTACATAGAGCTAAAAAAATTCGAGTATATAGGTAGGTGCAGTGCTGCTGACAAAAGTGGCCAACGAGGTAAGTAATAATATCCAATGGAGAAGCTTATGGCCAGTGTGACAATTATTCCCTAATCTAAAACATTTCGTACAAATCAACAAAGATGCTTTTTTTGGATTTGAAATGTACTCATTAGAATTAAAATGTATATATTTGGCTGAAATATAGGTTGTTACGTGACATTTGTTTACTAGGTGTTTTTCGCGTAGAACATGTTAGAATTTACCTTTATGTAGGTTTACATGTGTCTAATAATGTTGTCATCTACAATTCTTAAAAATTCTCACTTAATTGTCACTTAATTGTTAGGTAGTTAAGTGATTATGGTGCTTACCTTCAAAATCTGAAGGTCACTGGTTCGATTCCAATAGATCATTACAATATCTACTATAAAAAAATGTATATGCCGTTAGTACTTATGATGATATCTAACAAAAGGTCTATGTTTGATGGTGACAAGACCAGGGTTTATAAAGTTTTCCTACAAAAAAAGTGAAGTAAAATAGTAAAGTTATAACTCTTTACTAAGAATATTTTTTTTAATCTTGTAAGGGCGTATCATTAAAATGCTTTGCTAACCATTGTTATAAAATCAATATTTATATGCTCACAAATACAGTAAATTCAGAAACCATATCGACTTCATTTTTTTTTTAATCAAGATGACGAATATAAATAGGTGTTAAATAAGTACAAGCGTTCAAATAGAATTCAATTATATTTAAATTTAATAAGAATTAAATACAACATACGTACAACTACAATTATAAAAAAATGAGCAATGGCTTAGCATCTAGAGACCTTATTTTGGTTGAATTTCACAAAATATACAGATACAAACACAATTATTTAGCATTACTGAACTGAAATAGCCCGTTTCGAATTTAATATATTCTAAGTGCAGTATTAAAGTATGAACACAGAGTATTATTACTTACTAGTGTCCATGTTGCTCGAATTCGAGCAATTGCTAAGCATTACAGGCGTTATTTTAAAACGAATAACAGTCATAATTTCTTATGACTTTAAAAGATTCGACTCAAAGATTATGGAAATACTCAAGATGTACATAACAGATCGATATAATCAACATTTCTTGTAAATATCTTATAATGAAAAAAGCTAATCTTGTTTTTTAGTGTTTTCTACAATAATAGCCTACTCATACTCCGCACTCATAGCCACATTAGGTCTATAACGATTTATATGACGATTTATATTTATCGTCCATAATAACGATTAAATAAAAAAAAAACATTATTTCTATATCTTCTCCTTGGTGGTGTTCTATGCAGCGAACACATAACAAAATAGAAGCGCTACTCGGAGCGCAGGAGCGTGGTAGTCTGACTAGCCGACGAAACGGACAAAGATGGCGGCGCTAGCCTAGTCCCGGCGTCTGCAACGCGCTGGTCGTCTGCTATACTTCGAGTCAGGGTTGTTTACATAGGCTTTGTTTAAATGTAAAAATACTTTTGTATAAAAATTACTTAGGTTTTTCTGGAAGTACATTGTTAATCCTTATGTTACTCCGAATACATTTCATTTGCAATTTCTTAGATTTCCCTTTTACGACAGCCCATTCCAGTTTTTGGGGTGTCGGGTCAATCGGGTTAGTTCACCCGAGTTATTGACCTTCAATTTCAACTTAAATATTGTTTTGATTTTACGTGGCAATCGCAAAAGAGAAATTCTTTAAAACACACAAAAGTAGGGTACTACTAATGATTAAACTATTTTCGGAAATTACTAAGTGGTTTTAATTTATTTCACTTAGTTAGTCGTTAATTTAGGCTTATTGAAATATTTTTATACAAGACAATCATAATACTAAACGTGTTGTTTAGTTTTAACAAATTAAAAAATATTAAATGAATGAATTTATTTCCTATATTTCAGAACACTGTATACAATTATAATTATTGTTGACATATTAAAACTGGTCTTTATTCAAATAGTGTTTCCAGCTGTAAAATAAATTATTTATAATAAAAAATAAACTGATAATTCTAGAATTAAATAACAAATATTGTATCTGCCCGCTGTAAAATATGGGGCAAATTCAGTTTGAGAACACATAAACAAAAAATACTTGTACTTAAGCTAACGCTGTTATACTGAAGAGTTGGTGCGATGGCGATAACCTACATCCTGTTGAGAACTAGTCAAGTGATTGTTCTTTTACAAAAATAGTACACATTTCTCAGGATATGAAATAGAAAACAATCATTTTTGTTTTGTAATTAAAATTATTGCTCAAATATATTTCAAACGAGTTCGCTACTACTGTAAAATAAGTAACGAAAGTCTTCACAAAAATAAAGTCGGGCAACATCTCAATAAAACTGTAATTTTTCTGGGACAATAAATTGAGTGTAATTTTACAAATATTGGGGAAGTTTTATTTAACTTACATAATTATCTTGAGTTTATCTTGGATGATATTAAAAGCAAATTAGTCCTTAAAAAACTGTGCTAAACGGTTGAAAATTCTTCATAGACAATATATTTGAAAATGTCTTTAATATATACAATATTACAGTACAACAGTATAAATAAAACATTAAAACACTGCACGCTAAATTTATAGACGACGGCCCGGCAGGGCAGCGGGCGTGGCGCGGAGCAGCGGCAATGGACCCCTTTTGTACCTGATATTTTTGGAAAACCACGCTCGATAAAAATTTTTGATGAATCGGATAGTTAAATTTGGTTATTTATCCACAACTTTCCCGCTGACGAAATTACTCTGACCAAAAAATAAAAAATTTCCTCGCAACACAACTTTTTCATGTCTGAATGTAAAAAATTAAACTACATAAGTAATACAAATATTTATAAATCAATTACTATCATAACTAATAATTTTATATGTAGTAGAAGTCATTATAGTTTCATATATGAACAGTCATAATTATTAGTAACGGAAGAGTTATTATGTTTTGCGGGGTGGCTGCACTGTGCACTGAGCCCTGAAGTGGGATGATTCGTCACGGCTCCGTCTTCTATGTCCAACAGCGATCGTAAGTGGTTCTTTTATAATTACTGTCCACTTTCTAACGTAACGGTTAGGTTACGACATTTTGGCGCAGTCGGTAATAAACCTTTTTATCATAGTTAGGGTAGTACGCGATAACAGTTGTTGTTTTAGTGCGTATTATAGTTGAGATGATTAAAAATGGCGAGTATTAGTGTTGGCAGGATTTCTGAATTTAATCCAAGTGAGGAGGACATTGTGCCCTATTTGTTGCGCCTGAAACATTTTTTCAAAGCGAACAATGTTAAGAAGGAGAACGAGGTGTCGGTTTTAATTACAGTTATTGGTCCCAGGGTTTTATCGGTCCTATCCGATTTATTATCACCGGTAGAGGTAGATTCTAAGACCTATGATGAACTTGCAGCGTTGTTGAAATTACATTATGCGCCCAAGAAGTTGGTTGTGGCGGAGCGATATGTATTCTACTCTCGTGTGCAAAAGCCGGGCGAAAGCATAGCGGAGTTTGTGGTTTCAATAAAACATTTGGCTAGTTCGTGCAAATTTGGTACCTTTTTGAAAGACGCTTTGAGGGACAAAGTGATTTCCGGCATTTCTAATGAAACTATCCGGCAGAAATTGTTGTCGGAGGAATTGGACTTTGACGAAGCTTATGCGTTAGCGCTCAGGCTGGAACAGGCCGAATCGCAGTCAAGCCTATTTGTGCAACCTCGTGGGGACATTGCGAAAATCAATGTGAAAAGTCAAAATAGGCCTAAAACTTTCATGCATAGGAGTAGTGAAAATCAAAATTCTAGAAACTCTTGCTGGAGGTGTGGTTCTGCGGGTCATTGGCCTAGTGCGTGTGCGTTCGCCAATTACAAGTGTCACGGTTGTTAGAGAGTAGGTCATCTCAAGAAAGTGTGTAAAGCCAAGAAATCTTCTAGTTTCCATGGTAAAAAGTCGACACCTAGGATGGGGGTCCATCAAGTGGAGGAAGAGGTAGGCCTAGGCCTAGAAGTTCCAATGACAGAGATAGGTCTGTACAACCTTAAATCAGGATTAGACAACGGCTATAAGGTTTTTTTTTTTTGTCATAGGACGCTAGGCACGAGCCTGGGATTGTTTTTTCACATTACTTCAGGCTAGACCTAGGGGTTGCGGCATTATCACTTAGATAAATCCATTGGTGACTTGGCGGGGATCGAACCCGGGACCTCAGGGACTGAAGTCCCGCGCTCTAACCACTACGCCAGCTCGCTCCCCAACGGCTATAAGGTATGCCTAGTGGCTAATGATGTATATTTAGAAATGATTCTAGATACAGGCAGTGCCTTGACTATATGTCCTTCTGAGATATTTTATGAAAAATTTTCTAACCTCAAACTTAGGCCAGCAAATGTAAAAACTTGCTACTTATTCAGGTCATGATGTACCTGTTCTGGGACAAGTGAATGTCAATGTTAAATATAATAATCAGCAGGCGAGTTTGCCTTTGACAGTAGTTAGTTTAGAAAGTAAGAGTCAACCGATTCTGTTGGGCCGAAACTGGTTAGGTCAGTTGAGGTTAGATTGGCAAAATGTGTTTTCATGTAAAGCCACTGTGGATCACAGTTCTGATTTGGACATTGCTAAGTTGAAGAGTAAATTTAAGTCAGTTTTTCAGCCTGGAACGGGCGAAATTAAGGGTGTTAAGGCTCATATTGTCTTAAAGGAGAGGACAGTCCCTAAGTTTTGTAAGGCGAGACCAGTGCCTTTTGCGTTAAGGGAGAAAGTTGAGAGTGAGTTGGACCGCATGGTTCAAGAGGATGTTGCGTACAGAGTTACTAATTCACAGTGGAGCACTCCACTTGTGGTTGTCCCTAAGCCTAATGGTGTTAGGCTTTGTGCCGATTATAAGATTACTCTTAATCAGTGTATTGAAATGGAACATTATCCGCTTCCACAGGCTCAAGATATTTTTGCAACTCTAGGCGGTTGCTCAGTTTTTAGCTGCCTTGATCTTTCAAATGCGTATCAGCAATTGGCGGTAGCGGATGAATCGCAACATCTGTTGACCTTAGCCACCCATAAGGGTCTGTATCGATTAAAAAGGCTACCATATGGTTTGTCTTCAGCTCCTGCAATTTTTCAGTCAGCCATCGACCAAATTTTAACAGGTCTTCCAGGAACGGTGGCGTACTTAGATGACGTCTTAGTAGCGGCTCGCTCTAAGGAAGAGGGGCTCGCCCGTCTGGCGCAAGTGCTGCAACGCCTTGATGAGTTTGGTGTTCGAGTAAACCAACAAAAGTGTAAGTTTTTGCAATCATCAATAGAGTATTTAGGACATGTGATTACCCGAGATGGTCTCCGTCCACAAGAAAGTTTGTTAACTGCGCTGCGTAAAGCGCCTGAGCCTAGTACTAAGGAAGAGTTAAGAGCCTATATTGGTCTAATAAATTATTATCATGCATTTATACCTAACCTGTCTGCTAGAATAAGCTGTTTTTATGACTTATTACATAAGGATCATCCATGGGTGTGGTCGGAGGTGTGTTCTAAGACTTTTCAGGAGAGTAAATCATGGGTGTTGGACTCAAGTTTGTTAGTTCACTATGATGTGAAAAAGCCCATAGTTCTGACGTGTGATGCGAGTCCCAGAGGGGTGGCTGCTGTTCTATCTCATCTTATCGATGGGCAGGAAAGGCCAATTGCCTTCGCATCGAAAACGCTAAGTTCCAGTGAACGGAATTATTCCCAGTTACATCGGGAGGCTCTGGCTTTGATCTTTGGAGTCAAAAAGTTTCATAAGTATATATATGGAAGACACTGTATTCTACAGACTGATCATCAGCCGTTGACGGCTATTTTTGGCTCTAAAAAGGGCGTTCCTAGTATGGCGGCAGCTAGGCTGCAGAGATGGGCCTTGATTCTATCAGCATATGATTTGGAGGTTAGGTACCGGAAGGGAGTGGATGTCCCTCACGCTGATGCGTTGTCTAGGTTACCCTTAGCAGAAGCGGAACCTATAGAGCTGGATGCTAATTTTGTTTCACATGTAGATGTGTGTACAGAAGTGATGAACAATTTCTGTGTTGTCAAGGACATTGCACCTATTACTGCCTTGCATATAGGTAAAATGACGGATAAGGATCCGATTCTTTCGAAGGTCCGAGATTTTGTGATGTACGGCTGGACGAGCTCTGTTGAGCCGGAACTAGCTATTTTTCTAAGGAAGAAGGACGAGTTGTCCGTGGAACAAGGTTGTTTGCTGTGGGGTTCTCGTGTAGTGATTACAAAGAAACTGTATTCATCTGTGCTTCAAATGTTGCATGATCAACACCCGGGAGTTACCCGCATGAAGATGCTGGCGAGAAGTTATGTCTGGTGGCCAGGCATGGAAAAGTCGATTGAGGACGTAGTGGCTTCTTGTTCTGCTTGTCAGTTAACTAGGAATTCGGTACCTAAAGTACCGTTGCAGCAATGGCCTACAACATCAACTCGATGGCAGAGGATACACATTGACTTTGCGGAGGATCCAGAGTCGAGACAGCAACTTTTAGTTTTGATTGACACATACTCTAAATGGTTAGAGGTATTTATCATGAGTTCCATGAATTCTTCCAAGGTTATTGAGAAACTCCGTACCTTGTTTTCATCGTATGGATTGCCTGTCGAACTGGTGTCGGACAACGGAAGATCTTTTACTAGTCAAGAGTTCAAAACCTTGTTGCATAACAACAATGTGAAGTTCACATTAACTCCCCCGTATCATGCGGCTTCAAATGGATCTGCAGATAGAAGTGTTCAGGAGGTCAAGAAAAACCTTTTGCGTCAAGTGATTGAGGAACATCAGCGTTCTCAGCGTACCACTCTTCAAATGAAATTAGATAATTTCTTGTTTGCGTACCGCAACACTCCAAATACAGTTACAGGCTTAACCCCTGCAGAAATGTTCCTGTCTTGGAAGCCTCGCACACAGTTGGTTATGTTAAAACCGAATCTCCAGTCATCCATTGATCAAAAACACAGGGAACAAAAAGATGCAGCTGATAGGCTTAGGGGAAGAAGTAGATTTTTCTCAGAAGGTCAGGCAGTCTATGTCAAAACTGTCCGAAATGAAAAGATATCTTGGGTTCCTGGCAAAATAATTATACAGAGAAGTCCGGTCACCTATCTTGTGAGTGTCATTGGTGGAAAACCCCGATTTTGTCATGCAGACCACTTGAGAGCTCGGTATGCAGAAGAGGAGGAGATTTTTGTATCACCCAAGGATCCCGTTGTATCACCCCAAGTACCCAAGAATTCACCCCCGCCGGAGGATCGACCAACTAGTCCCCTGATGATGTCACCTGTACCTAGGCCTACTACCAGTCCCAGGGAGAGCCTAGGGCAAGCCCAGCCTCAGCCAACTCCTGCGTCGCCGCTAGCACAGTGCAGCCCACCACCCTCGCTGAGGAAGTCTGGACGGACTGTGCGAAAGCCTCACAGGCTGGACTTGTAAAATAATTAATGAATAATGGGAAGAAGAAATTTTTGTTGCATTATATTGAAAGTGAATTTATTTAATTTTGAGTTAATTTTGAATTTATATTATTGACTTTTTTTTGGGGCAAGACGAGTGTAGTAGAAGTCATTATAGTTTCATATATGAACAGTCATAATTATTAGTAACGGAAGAGTTATTATGTTTTGCGGGGTTGCTGCACTGTGCACTGGGCCCTGAAGTGGGATGATTCGTCACGGCTCCGTCTTCTATGTCCAACAGCGATCGTAAGTGGTTCTTTTATAATTACTGTCCACTTTCTAACGTAACGGTTAGGTTACGACATTATATTAACACCATCGTTATCCTCAGTATCAGATCTACAAGTATGCAAAATTTCAGCAATTTTTGTCAACTATTAATGTTGTTTATGATCGTGTATTTGTCGCGGGGTTTTTAATGCGAACTGTGCTCGCGGGTCTTGGATTCAGGCTGTATGACGGACCAAGATGGCGGATTTGGCCACACTTTCAGTGCATTTGGTTAAACGCCGTGTCCTCTCTATTATTATTATTATTATGTGCTCGCTGGTTCTATGACTTTTCTATGTTTCCATAGTTTGCAAATCGGCTCCTTCAATGATTACTAAAAAATGCAGCGCAGTGTTAATTCAGTTTTCTTTTTAGTAGCCTATATAAATTTACCCAGGCTCTGTCGTTTTATTCCATTGTAATATTTACGTCAACCCAAATTGAAATAGTAAATATTTCATTTCAACCAAGTTAGTAAATGTTTGTAGCAAACTGTTAAATTAGCAAACTTTTTGACTGTTTTATACCATATGTTCTTCTTCTCATTTTTAATTCCTGACAACAGCTGGAGTTTCATAAAAATGTTTGTTTCCCATGTTAATCTTAAGGAGAACTATGAAACTTTAAAGGGTCCCGGGGCATCACTCTCTAATTATTTCCCTAAAAAGAAAGTTTCCTGCACAACTTTACGTTACGCTCTTTCCTATGACACCAAAAACATGTCAATCGGTTCAGTAATTTCGGAGGAGTAATTGTCACAAAAAACCTGCTTGCGTATTAAATAAGTAAATAGACTTTTTAATCTTTTTGCTTTATTATAATCAATAAAGTTAAAAATGGATTATGATGGAGTAACCAACCAATGTATTTGTGGCTTTGATAAATGTCACTGCAAAAGGTACAGTCGCTGTCGAAACGAAGGAAAAGTTGATTGGCAAATGAAACTTTCTCTTCCCCAGATTGGTTAAAGTGGTAAACATCTCAATGTCAAAATATAACTTCATCCTAACCTCAGAGTATTCAACTATACATATAATATATATATCTTATGTTTCATCAGTATGATTCAAAAGTATTGCTAAAACCTTTAGAATAAATTATTTTTCTTCTTTCACCCACTAAAAACATGGATGTTTTTTCACATGTTAAAATCATTAGTATAACGTTACAAAACGGTTCATAGTATCTGATGTTGAATGTAGATTCACGTTTCGCTTTATGAGTTTGTATGGTATCTTAAATTATGTTTAATAAAAACAACACAAAAACACTAATTAAACACTTGACATCGGGGATACTTTGAAAAAGAACGAGTTTAATTCACTCACGTAATTTGAATCTACAGTGGAAAAACCCTGAGAGCATACTTTTGAATAAACTTCAAACTATCCACATACAACACTTTCAAAACCTTGAAAACTGATGTTTCACTAATAGTGTGATATAAGTGTAAGTGCTTTTGTTATAGAATACTGTCGTTTGATGTATCAATTATTATTCCTTACATTACTAATAGCCTCATTTTAGGGCCAGTTGTTAATTACTAGGTTCAGCAACTGTTCTATATTGGCAACAGCATGATGCAATAAAATAAATAAGAAAAGTAAATAAGATGTATAATTTCTGTCTGGTCAAATCAGAAAACAGAATGTAGAAAAATCAACAAGCAAAGGCACATTCAAGGTAAAGAAATGCTATCTTGTTCTTTAAGACGACAAAGAAGCCATAATATTGGGCTTTCGCACTCCATCAATCTATCGCCTTGACCGATTGGGACCGAACAAGATTTTTTTATTTTTTGTAAGAAATATATCTGAACACCTTTTGAGCAACAGGTTTCACGCATGAACATTAAAGGTTTGTTCAGAAAGCTTTAACCGATTAACAACACTATCGAATCGACATGAGATTTAAAACCACAAAATTAGGAAATGTAAAATTAATTTTTAGTTACTGCCTTACGACCTTAGATGGCTTACAATCAAGGTTTACGACGGAGACTCCCTAGAGAGTAAAAGAGGTACTTTAAATCAGAAACACACGTGTTAAACTCGGCTGTTTTTGCTGCAGCATGATAAAAAAACTATTATTAGTTAGTATTTTATTTTATTTATCGTTTCAACGGCTGACGCCAATACATAGATGATTAGATTGAGATACAATTTAAGGAACTAACAAGAAGCAAATGTTATACAATTCAGAACAGTAACAAGCTACGAGATAACAATAAATACAACAATAAAAACAAAAACAACAATAAATAGCAACAATAAATACAAGTTGACAAACAGGCGAAATTCACAATAATGATTTACTAATTTGAGAAAATTATGTGATATAACATTTGAGTGCAAAAACAGAACAATAATAATGCATGAACAAACCAAGCAAAGAACAACCCAAACATATCAGAAAATGTGAGAAGAATACTGCCATACAATTAAACAAAACCAGAAAGGGCAGTAGAAGAATTTGCATACAGAGAGGCACAGGCACAAAACACAGAAAGATCTTCACTTCACCACTTCGAAATCACCACACATTTCTTGAAGGTAGCCAGCGACATATTAAAGAGGTCAATATGATCAGGTAGAGCATTTACGAGACGTTGGGCTCTAGGCAGTGGGCTGAAGAGATGGTAGTTGGTGCTGAGATGCTCACGAGAGAAGAGATCCTTGGATCTTGAAGATCTACCTGCCCTGAAGTTCAGAAGTTTGAGAATTCCGGGACAGTCGATGAAGCCATTGACCAGTTTGTAAATGAGCAAGATGTCCTGGATCTCACGTCTGGACTCCAATGGAAGGATTTGAAGGGCCTTGGAGATTTCTTGGATGGGTACCTCTCTGTAGTTGTAGCCCAACCTCACACCGACCACTCTCAAGAAGTGATTAACAACCATTTGAAGTTCGGTCTTGAGATAGTCCTGGTGAGGTGACCAAACACAACAGCCAAACTCTAGGTGTGGCAATACGAAGGCCAGGAACAGGGTTTTGAGTAGAGTAACGTCTTGGAAATATTTGGAGCTTCGAAGAACAAAACCCAGGGCTTGAAGGGCTTTTCTGCAACTAGAGGTAATGTGACGTTCCCATGACAGGGAGGAGGTTAAGGTCACACCTAAATCCCTCACTTCATTAACCCTTGCAAGATTAGATTGACCCAGGCTATATACGAACTGAGACTGAGACTTCTTCTTACTAAACGATATGGCTACACACTTTTTAATGTTTAGATCCATGTGGTTTGAGAGACACCAGTTCTGGACGGCATCGAGACTACGTTGGAGGAGAAGGCAGTCTTCGTGGCTTCTAATGGTACGGTATATCTTCAGGTCATCAGCAAATAGAAGGCAATGGTTACCTACGTGGGTCACAAGGTCATTTATGAAGATGTTGAAAAGTGGTGGACCGAGGTGTGAGCCCTGGGGAACACCAGATGTGGGGAAAAATTCGTGAGATAAAGAACCAAGAAACTTAACTTGGACGGGGCGGTTTGCAAGGTAGGACCGGAACCAAGATAGCATTTTCCCAGTTACACCAGCAGCTTGGAGCTTGGTGAGGAGGAGCGGATGGTTTACCCTGTCGAACGCCTTAGCAAAGTCAAGATAAATTGCATCCACTTGCAAGCGATCTTGAAAGGCATCAAGGATGTCAGCTTGCATTACCAAAAGATTGGTGGTAATTGAGCGTCCGGTAGAAAATCCATGCTGCAGTGGAGAGAGATACGGCTTGATGGCAAAATTCAGTCTTTTGAGGATCAACTTTTCAAAGATTTTGGAGAGTGTATTCAAGATAGCTATAGGTCTGTAGTTGCGGACGTCTAGAGTAGGACCAGATTTGTGAATGGGTAAGATGTAAGCACTCTTCAGGGCATCAGGAAACACACCCGAGGCTAAAGAGTGGTTAAACAGAACTAAAATAACAGGAGCTAGTACATCAGCACTTGATTTGAGAACATTAGGCGGTATGTTGTCAGGGCCGCAACCCTTAGATCCATCCAGGTTCCTGAGGCAGTCGACAACTTCCCCAAGCTGAAGCGAGCAGGAAGAGAGGACATCTGAAGCTCCCACATCAAGTGGAGGATTATAGGCATGATCGTTGGTGTAGACCGACGAGAAGAAGTCAGCAAAGAAGTTGGATATTATATCAGGATGCTCCGATGAATGATCATCATACTTGAAGGTTCTAGGCTGATCATCAGAAGATTTAAGGTTCCTCACAAAACCCCAGAAAGACTTAGGATTGCCCATTATATTAGCTTGAATAAACTGCAAGTAGTTTTTGTAGCAGATTCCAGAGAGTTGTTTGCATTCAGCTCTGACACGTGCAAACTTGACGTAATCATTATCCTTTAGGGACGTCTTAAAAGCCTTGTGAAGGATTTTCTTCTCGATCACCAGCTGACGCAACTGGGGTGTGAACCAGACGGGAAAGGGAGACTTGGCAATATTTTTCATGGGAGTATGACGCAAAACTATGGTACTGACTGTACTGCAGAAGCTATTAAACAAAGCATTGGTATCTGACTCAGGGTCAAACCAACTAAAATCATGTGACTGAAGTTCCAAATGAATAGCAGGTAGATCGCTTTGACTGAAGTTTGGTCGGAAAATAGGAGCTCTGTCAGAGATTTTTTGAGGCAAAGGTACATCTATTGATAAAGCAGGATGATGAGACTCCGCTGGAACCAGAGGATCAGTGTCTTTTGATA